GTTTACGGGATAACAGAAATCATCGACCAGCTAGAATAATTAATACGAGCAATGAACAACTTGTATGTTAGACTAAATTTTAATCTAAGTAAAGACAAGCGAATAAAACACAATAGTAAAAAAGAAAATAACAAAATTAGTAAAATTTCAAAATTTAGTTGCGAAATGTTGTAAAATGCAGAAAATATAGCCTTGCGAAGTGGGTTAGGTTAAAACGCGGATGCGGAACGGAACGGATGGGGTTAAAATACGGAACGGATGGGGTTAAAATGCGGAACAGAACAGATGGGGTTAAAATGCGGAACAGAACGGATATGGGGTAAAATGCGGAACGGAACGGAATGGATATGGGGTTAAATCGTAACCTGCAGTTTAGGCCCTAATTTTAAATAGGATCTGACACATTCATTGCACAAAAAAATTATATTCTCATGAACATGTCCGCAGAGTGCGCATTTTGCTTTTTAATTAAAAAGCAAAAGGCGCACTCTGCGGACATGTTCATAAGAATATAAATTTTTTGTGCAATGAAATCTACAACACTTGTCAATCATATCGCATGACTATGTCTAAAAATAACATGTGGGCGTCCCACGGTCTAGACAGGTTTTGTGTCAGACCCTATTTAAAATTAGGGCCTAAACCTCGGGTTACGTTTTAACCCCATATCCGTTCCGTTCCGCATTTTAACCCCATATCCGTTCCGCATTTTAACCCCATATCCGTTCCGTTCCGCATTTTAACCCCATATCCGTTCCATTCCGCATTTTAACCCCATATCCGTTCCGTTCCGCATTTTAACCCCATATCCGTTCCGTTCCGCATTTTAACCCCATATCCGTTCCGTTCCGCATTTTAACCCCATCCGTTCCGCATCCGTTTCCGCGTTTTAACCTAACCCCTTGCCAAGTTTGCATATTTTTAGCATATTTGTATTACGTGCGAAAATTGTTACATTTTCGGCTCGAAAATGGTAACAATTTCCGCACGTAATACAAAATGACTGAAAATTGCAAACTTCGCAAGGCTATATTTTCTGCATTTTACAACATTTCACAACCAAATTTTCCAATTTTACTGATTTTAATAAGTTCTTTACAGGAATTTACTTTTTCTTGCCTAAATAAAAAATTTGTCTAACATGCAAGTTGTCTATTATGAAATACGCTCTTTCCAAATTTAAAAAAAATGAAATCTTGCCTAATGTTCAAAATATTCCACAAATTATAGGCCCATCTTATCTTCCACGGTCGTTTAATCGAGAAAACTTAATTCACAGTCATCATGTTATGTATATAGTTTCATATTTTCTTGTAAATAATTAATATTGTAAATAATTCAAATGTCATGGCGCCTCGAAAGATCATCTCAATTCTAACAACAGGCCTCTGAGCTTAAATAAAGGTCAAACAGACAAACAAACAAATCGCAGCGTGTGAACTTACCTCACATACTTATACCAGTAACATAAAGTTTTACTCTAGACGAGACACAAATCCACCCTGATTTTCAAATATTTATAAAAACGGGGTGGTTTTGTACCCCATCAGGTACTAAGGTATAGTTTTACTCTAGACAAGACACAAATCCACCCTGATTTTCAAATATTTATAAAAACGGGGTGGTTTTGTACCCCATCAGGTAGTAAGGTATAGTTTTACTCTAGACAAGACACAAATCCACCCTGATTTTCAAATATTTATAAAAACGGGGTGGTTTTGTACCCCATCAGGTAGTAAGGTATAGTTTTACTCTAGACAAGACACAAATCCCCCCTGATTTTTCAAATATTTATAAAAGCGGGGTGGTTTTGTACCCCATCAGGTAGTAAGGTATGGTTCTACTCTAGACAAGACACAAATCCACCCTGATTTTTCAAATATTTATAAAAACGGGGTGGTTTCGTACCCCATGAGGTAGTAAGGTATGGTTCTACTCTAGACAAGACACAAATCCACCCTGATTTTCAAATATTTATAAAAATGGGGTGGTTTTGTACTCCTTCAGGTAGTAAGGTATAGTTTTACTCTAGACAAGACACAAATCCACCCTGATTTTCAAATATTTATAAAAACGGGGTGGTTTTGTACCCCATCAGGTACTAAGGTATAGTTTTACTCTGGACAAGACACAAATCCACCCTGATTTTCAAATATTTATAAAAACGGGGTGGTTTTGTATCCCATCAGGTAGTAAGGTATAGTTTTACTCTAGACAAGACACAAATCCACCCTGATTTTCAAATATTTATAAAAACGGGGTGGTTTTGTACCCCATCAGGTAGTAAGGTATAGTTTTACTCTAGAGAAGACACAAATCCACCCTGATTTTCAAATATTTATAAAAACGGGGTGGTTTTGTACTCCATCAGGTAGTAAGGTATAGTTTTACTCTAGACAAGACACAAATCCACCCTGATTTTCAAATATTTATAAAAACGGGGTGGTTTTGTACTCCATCAGGTAGTAAGGTATAGTTTTACTCTAGACAAGACACAAATCCACCCTGATTTTCAAATATTTATAAAAACGGGGTGGTTTTGTACCCCATCAGGTAGTAAGGTATAGTTTTACTCTAGACAAGACACAAATCCACCCTGATTTTCAAATATTTATAAAAACGGGGTGGTTTTGTATCCCATCAGGTAGTAAGGTATAGTTTTACTCTAGAGAAGACACAAATCCACCCTGATTTTCAAATATTTATAAAAACGGGGTGGTTTTGTACTCCATCAGGTAGTAAGGTATAGTTTTACTCTAGACAAGACACAAATCCACCCTGATTTTCAAATATTTATAAAAACGGGGTGGTTTTGTACCCCATCAGGTAGTAAGGTATAGTTTTACTCTAGACAAGACACAAATCCACCCTGATTTTCAAATATTTATAAAAATGGGGTGGTTTTGTACCCCATCATGTAGTAAGGTATAGTTTTACTCCAGACAAGACACAAATCCACCCTGATTTTCAAATATTTATAAAAACGGGGTGGTTTTGTACCCCATCAGGTACTAAGGTATAGTTTTACTCTAGAGAAGACACAAATCCACCCTGATTTTTCAAATATTTATAAAAACGGGGTGGTTTTGTACTCCATCAGGTAGTAAGGTATAGTTTTACTCTAGACAAGACACAAATCCACCCTGATTTTTCAAATATTTATAAAAACGGGGTGGTTTTGTACCCCATCAGGTAGTAAGGTATAGTTGCTGCCGTAGGCAGCCACCTATTCTTGACGATGTGTTTTTCTCGCACCAGTCCGTTTCCGGTTGGCCGAGTTATGTATAGCCGAGCGACAACTCGATTTTATTTGCATGTACGAATGTTTGTACGGATGATCAGATTTATGACGTATTTTGACGTCACAGAAATTTTAAAAAAATAACATACTCCAGATCGCGATTTGACTTTCCGAATATCCCGGTTGAACCTCGCGAACACCACCATGGACAATGACAATTTGTCAACACGTTACATGTACGCATACAAATGGCCTCTGTATAATGGCATAGTCTCATCGCAAATGGACTCTGACTGTTAAATAAAATGCTTTTCAAGGTAAGATGAAAGTTTGATCACAAATAACAATGTGTATTGGTCGATACGCGTTGAAACTTGAAGCGAATGAATTAACTGTATTTAAATTATTACATTTTTAGGTGCATACAAGTCTTCATGGTAAACAAGTGGACTTCGTCGATATTTATCAGTTTGTAAAAAATCTGATTGAGCTTGATCGTAGGCTTGATGGAACATCGTACTTCTAAGGGATAAATAATCACAGAGAGAGTTTATTATTGTTATTGTTATTTTGGCAATATCAATTGAGGCATTGAGCAGGAGTGAGGTCGCACTGTTTCAAAGGTTGTTGCTGATTGGTTCATAGGTGTAATGTGGTGGTCGTGGTGGTCGGCCAATCATATTGATTTCTGATAAAAGCTTATTCAAACATTAACTTAATTAACACATTAAATATTAATTTATTACTAAAATGGTACAATAATAGTGAAAACGAATCGTCATACAGTTTGATATCAACATAATTACATTTAATACACTCTGGGACATATTGCATTTGGGACTTATGAGTTTAATGCAAGTGGATGCTATGGTCGACCTAGCAATGCATTGATATTGCTGATTTATAAAGGTTATTACTCTATTATAAATACATTTTACATGTACTGAATCCAGTACAAATGGAAGGCTAGTACAAGATATGTATGTATGTATGTATGTATGTATGTATGTATATGTATGTATGTATGTATGTATGTATATATATATATATAATATATATGTATGTATGTATATATAATAATATTTGTGATATATAATGGTTGTTTTAATATCAATAATTAATATTACTCTAAAAAAATAAAATTTGCAGGATAGTACAAGTACAATATATATGCAGCAGTAGCAGTTGAGGTAGTGAGGCGGTGGTGGCAGTGGTGGCGATGGTAGCAAGCCAATAATATTTGTGATATATAATGGTTGTTTTAATATTAATAATATTGCTTCAAAAACAATAAATTTGCAGGATAGTACAAGTACAATATATATGCAGCAGTAGCAGTTGAGGTAGTGAGGCGGTGGTGGCAGTGGTGGCGGTGGTAGCAAGCCAATAATATTTGCGATATATAATGGTTGTTTTAATATTAATAATATTGCTCTAAAAAAATAAAATTTGCAGGATAGTACAAGTACAATATATATGCAGCAGTAGCAGTTGAGGTAGTGAGGCGGTGGTGGCAATGGTGGCGAAGGTGGCGATGGTGGCGGTGGTAGCAAGCCAATAATATTTGCGATATATAATGGTTGTTTTAATATTAATAATATTGCTCTAAAAAATAAAATTTGCAGGATAGTACAAGTACAATATATATGCAGCAGTAGCAGTTGAGGTAGTGAGGCGATGGTGGCGGTGGTGGCGATGGTGGCGAAGGTGGCGGTGGTAGCCAGCCAATAATATTTGTGATATATAATGGTTGATTTAATATTAATAATATTGCTCTAAAAAAATAAAATTTGCAGGATAGTACAAGTACAATATATATGCAGCAGTAGCAGTTGAGGTAGTGAGGCGGTGGTGGCGATGGTGGCGGTGGTGGCGAAGGTGGCGGTGGTAGCAAGCCAATAATATTTGTGATACATAATGGTGGTTTTAATATTAATAATATTGCTCTAAAAAAATAAAATTTGCAGGATAGTACAAGTACAATATATATGCAGCAGTAGCAGTTGAGGTAGTGAGGCGGTGGTGGCGATGGTGGCGAAGGTGGCGATGGTGGCGGTGGTAGCAAGCCAATAATATTTGTGATATATAATGGTTGATTTAATATTAATAATATTGCTCTAAAAAAATAAAATTTGCAGGATAGTACAAGTACAATATATATGCAGCAGTAGCAGTTGAAATAGTGAAGCAGCAGTGGCGATGGTTGCAATGGTAGTATGGTGAAGGCAGGGCCGTTCCTAGTGCGATAATTGGGGTCGGGTGGGGGGAGGTGTATATTCATATATTCGTGTTCTGCCAAGGCCTCGAAATAAGTGCCAGTCACTGACCGGTAAAAATTCACAGTTTGACCGGCAAATATTGTCGCCTGGCGGACATACGTGACCGGTAAATTTTTTAATAAAAAACTAAAAAGTACGTTCAAAAATGGAGCAGATTTTTTATTTCCAATTTTCCAAAGAAGCGTATATGTCCGTCTACAGTGCAGGCAAATAAGGGTGGCGAAGTGACACATTTTGTCATACATGCAGATACGATATACCGCAAGCATTGTACCTAAGGGGCGGATCATTTGACTTGGGAGGGGGGGGGGGGGG